ATGGTGAATCTGGCCTGTTTGTGCCTCTGTGTCTACCTGTCCAGTGTCTTGAGGTCTTGGTATTTCTATCTGTGTCTCTGGCTTTGTGTGTGTGTGGGTGTCTTTTTTGTATGAGTGGCAGGAATGAGTATGAAAGGTAGTTTATGATGGTCTTTTACTTCACCACTGCAAGTCCAAGGTTTTAGGTTATGAACTGAGTGCAAATAAAGTCCTAAACTCATGGGGAGATAATGGTATTGATAACTGAATTTAATTTAAAGGAACTGATATAGGATATGTGGGTAATTTTCTAATTAGGAAGTCCAGAGGCTATTTTAAGACATAAGGTTAAAGAATCCCAGGAGAGAAACTGGCCAGCTGTTCTCTGCCTCCCCCAAAGTTTGAGCAAGCGTTTCTGTTGAACTGACTGAATACCTTTTTCTAAGAATGTGGTAATGGTATTATGGTTATGTTTTAAGCTAGAAGTGTTCTTATTTTTTGGAGGCATCTCCTGGTATTTGCTTCAAAATGATTTGGGAAAGGGGTGAGTGGGTGGGTGGTATATATGGAATAAGCTTGGCCGCAGGCCAATAATTGTTGATGGATAAAGAGTACAAAGAAATTTATTGTGCTGTTTTGTCTAACCTTATATGTTTGAAATTCTTTGCAATAAATGTTAAAAATCCAGTGTTACTGTTTTGGGTGCCAGAATGGTAAACATTTAAACATTTTTTCTCTCTTGAAAGAAAACGTTCAGCTTTCTCTTGAACTCGCAAAACTAGGGTAAAATTTCTCTCTTCCAGCAGTCAGTGACCCACTAGGAGTAGCTCCTTTATCTTCCTTTCAAAGGATTGTGTTTATAAACAGGCTCAATTGGCCACATCTAGGTTTATGATTTATTTAGGTGTATGATTTCCAGGAGGTGTGGGGTAAAAAAGGATAGTTATAAGAGCCAAAATTATAGATTTGGGAAGCTCAGATCAAGAAGAGAAATCCTGAGAATTGAGTTAGTAGCACTGTGTAACATGCGTCATGCCTTTGTAGAACACATTGCTGGACACCTCTCAGAGGTGAGTTGGATTGCCGACTAGGACACTTTCCAAAAACCTTGGGCCCATAAAGCATCAAATTTAGTGACAGCCCTTTTCCTTGACCTGTATCTTCTCTACTCATGACTTCTTTTTGAAACAAAGCTAGGAAGTTCTGAGAGAGAAATAATCAGCTATTTCTTGCTTAAAGACAAAGTCTGTGTTTTAGGGGAAAGAAAAAAAAAATCTCAAGCAACAGCTGCATTTGTACATGCCAAAGTACAAAGACTTTCTGTCTTTATGGCGCTTTTATCTTATTTACATGGTTTTTACTAATCCAAATAATTATATGCTCATGTGAGTAGAATTGTTTTGCTACTTGATCCAAGAGAGATGGGTGGGGAAGCACCTGCTTTTAGTCATTAAAGTCTTGTTGCTTTTGCACTGTATCCAAGAAAATAGTTAATAAACAAAAAGTAATTTGCCTTTTCCTGAGAATGAAAAGGAACACCTCTTTGGTTTCACTCTGTGAAGAAGAGCAGAGAGAAACCTCAGAGTTGGGTTTTCTATTTATTGAAATGAAACTGACATGGATCCCACAGAGGAAAATGATTCCTGGGTTTTGGTTCTTCCTGCCCTCTTTCCCTCTCTGCCATAGAACTCAGCAACTGGAAGAATACCAGTTTTTGTTCCTTATTGGTGCTACCACCTGTTCTTATTGCTGAACTAAATGTTCTTGGCTTTCTTTGGTGTGAATAGGATCTCCCTCTGGGAAAGGTGGGAGGAGGGTGAAAAAGGGAACAGGAGAAGGCGCGTTCCAGCCTGGTGCTCATATGAGAGGGACACACAGGGGTTAGTGTGCTGCCCTAACAGAGGGGCTTTGTGCTGCGGCTTCTTCCAGGGCTGTGGCTCCACAGATGCATGCTGGGCAGGCTTAGGCTGCTTCATCCCTGATGCACATGCTTGTTCCTAACAAGACCAATAATAATTAAAATAAGAAAAGAAAGAATATGCAAGCAGAGGCTATTTTGAGAAGATATTCAGTGTGTATGGAGAAAGCTGTCTGTAATTAAGAGGTTAAAAATGAGTAGGATGGAGATGATGCCTCTGAACGCAAGAACCAGATCTGTTGTTGCATATGCACTGTGGATGCAGGCAGAGCTCTGACTTTAAGTCTTTCTTTCCCTTGTTATCTAGGTCATGGGAAATCAGCCTCTCTTAAATACAAGCGGCAGAATAGAGAAGAGTTTCAACCTTTGTACCCAGATCTCAGAGACTGAGGAGGTAGCTCAAGGTAGAAGTGTATCTGATTCAAAGCCTTTCTTCATGGGTCAGTGCAGGCAGCAACCTAAAATAACTCCCAGATAGAATGGTGATGATAATAATAGTTAGCAGTTAGATAGCACTTTCATACTGTCAGACTGTCTTAAGATATAAGTATCTGTCTAAAATATAAGTATAAAATAGATAATTTATGTAATCCTTAAATAATCCTAGGAGGTAAATACTATTATTAATTCTCTTTTAGAAGAGGAAACTAAAGCCTAGAGAAGTTAAACAACTTGTCCAAGGTCATATAGATGATAAATAATAGGGCTGGGATTTTGAACACAAATAATATGGTTCCAGAGTCCATACTATTATGCTATTATGCTATGCCATCTCTCCATGGAGCTCTGTCCTTTCTCAGACAGGGTCATCGGAGCCATACAGTATTTTGAGACTATTTTCTTAATTCTCTCTAGGATGGTAACATAACTAGTACCATGTGTAGGAGAGAAGTTAATTCATTAGGAGCTGTTGATGCCTTCGAGTATTAAGACTTAATTCTTGAGGAAACCCAGTTGAGAAAGACTAAAGGGGCTGTAGTTTGCATTCGTTGTGTTTGTACAGAACTGTCCTGAAACTAATTTTCTATTGGTTTGGTTTGGAACTGATTGTGGGCTCTGAACAAAGGACCAAACTTTATCCGTCCCTTGCCCAAGAGGTAGAGCTTTCGTCAGCATTGATGCCTTACCATTAATGATTGAGAAGAATGACAGGTGGGAATATGATAGTGGTTACCAAGTTTGGCCATGCTAAAGTGACTCTCTTTCATTATATCATCAAGTGTTCAGATCACCATACGTAGAAGCAGTCACTACTTTTCCTACTTTGCTTTTCCTTTTTTCTTCACGTTTTCCCAAGTTTCAAAATTCCATTGGTCACTTGGTCTATCCAGTTGTCCTCTGGGAGTGTTTAACTGTGGACCTAGACCTTTCCTTTTGGTCTAGTTTAAGGGGTCACTGATAGATCTTCTTTCACTTCCAGCAACAAATTATGGAAGATCTTGCTCTGCCTTTCCCTGATCTTATAATAGACTTTATAAAACTTTCTTGGTCAATCTGAAATAACTTAAAAGTAATTATAAGAGACCTCTGCCCCCAACTCCATGCTTGTTAAATAATACTAAATATGATTTGCTGGTACTGCCTCCTCCATATCATAGACTTGTTTATAGGCAAATAATAGCCAGGTACATGGTAAATTGTTCTCAAGTTGCTATAGGGATAGATGTTCAATGTGTATGAGGTGGAATGATGATATTAAGAAAATAGTGTGAAGAAAACAGTTCCTACTTGAAATTAGAAGACTGAGGTTTAGTCCCATTTTGCTTGAACTGGTTGTATTACCTTAAACATTTCAAATATAGGTAAAGATGGAGAAGGCAGATACATTTAGTTACAGCAAAATAAAAAACTGTTGCGCTCAAAAGATACCAGAAGACTAGAAGAAGGTATTTGCTATAAGTAGTACTCACAGACACAACTGAGCGCCTTCACTTTCACTTTTCACTTTCATGCATTGGAGAAGGAAATGGCAACCCACTCCAGTGTTCTTGATTGGAGAATTCCAGCGACGGGGGAGCCTGGTAGGCTGCCGTCTATGGGGTCGCACAGAGTCGAACACGACTGAAGTGACTTAGCAGCAGCAGCAGCAGCAGTACTCACAGAAGACCCAGAAAAACTAATGCAGTTAGAAAGACTAAAATTAACCAGTTTGACTATATTAATTGCTGACAAGGATATGGGGCAATTTATTTATATTCATGCCCTGGTAGAAGTTTAAGTTGCCATAATCTCTTTATAATAGCAAAAAAGTGGAGACTGCCAAAATTTCTGTCAATTAAAAACTGATAAATAGATGTGATAGAGTAACCTGATATAATGCCATACAGCAAGAAGAAGGGATGAAATGTATGGATAACCTCAAAAATAATGCTGAATTTTTTTTTTAAGTAAAATTTTTTAAAAAAAGTAAAATTCAGTGTGATACTTTTTACATAAAACCAGGAACATATACACACAAGCATACTATATGTTATTGAGAGATAAATACACACACACTTACAAATATATATAAAGTATTAAAAACAAAAGATTATGCTATGAACTCATGATAGTGAGTGACTGGTCTTAAAGGGGACTTTAGCTTTATCTGCAGATTAGAAGTAAGCATGATAGAATGTTTATTTCTGAGTGTTAGATGTGTATGTATTTGTTATATTATTCCTTTTACTTTTGGGTAATTTTATAGTAGCTAAACAGTTTAAAGGAAGAGGGCCAGATTTCATAGGATGAGCCACCAGAGAGTAATTAACCAGTTTATTGACATATATTTTATCTTTATTTACTACAGACCATTTATTTCTTTATATATCAGAGGAAATGAGGTAACTGCATTTCTTTAATGCATGACAACAGTCTCTCCTAATGTGTCCTTAATGGTATATCACACTCGGAAGAGCAAGGATCCTTATGAGCGCATGTCATGCCCATTCGTGTGAATGTTGTTTTTTACTTTTTTTCTTACTTACTGCAGGCATATCAACTCCTGGAAGGTCCATTTGGTTCCATAGCTATAAGCATGGAGTTGCTAGCATGACAGGCTGGGATGCAGAGAAGCTGAGTAACAGCACTGTGCTTTTCCCCTTGTCTAACCTCTTCTCCACAGGGGATCTTTAACCAGTTTCAGTGCAGTAGTGAGAAAGTGCTTCCATCTGACACTCTCCGCAGTGCTCTGGCAAAGACTTTTCAGGATGAGCAGCGTTTCCAGCTGGGAATTATGGATGATGCCGCGGAGTGCTTTGTAAGTGCTGGCCTCTGGCCCTCTTTGATGTGGGGTGAGACTGTGGATGGTCTCCGTCAGGGACTTGTTACTTTACCGTGGTACTTACTGTATTCCTCATCTGTACAGCTAGCACTAGAATTTCCCTAGTTTCTCAGAGCTCTAAGTTGTCTCTGCTGAATATGAATTCATTCTCAGCGTGAATTGCCTAGTGGGTTTATTCTTTTTCCTTCAGGTTTAGGGTCGTTTCGTGCTTGCCGTTGCACAAAACAGTAGCTCTCACCTTAGGAGGAGACAAGGCTCATTATATAAATATAAGTTGCTGTTTCCTGCTCTCTTGAGTTTCTGACTTGGTAGGTTTGGAGTAGGGCCCAAGAATGTCTGTAACAAGTTCCTAGGTGGGCTAATCCTGATACTACTGGTCTGGGGAACCACACTTTGAGAGCTCCTGCATTACCCAAGATAATTAAATAGAGAGTAGCTGAGTCCTTAGCCCAAACATGATGTGCTACTTTTGGTGATTTTTAGTAGACAACCCTCACGTTTTTCAACTCCAGGTGCCACCCGTCAATCTTGAGAAGGCTCTCTTTGTGCAACTATTAAACAATCTGAGTAATGTGCATCCTATTACAGGTTAAAATGTACCCCTGAGAAACTGGATCCCTGATTTATTGCTGGTAGGAATCTATAATGATCTAGCCACTCTTGAGAACACTTTGGCAGTTTCTTTTTTCCCTGACTGCACTGCACAGCATGTGAGATCTTAGTTCCCTGACCAGGGGTTAAATCCATGCCCCTGCATTGGGAGTGCAGAGTCATAACCACTGGACCACCAGGCAAGTCCCCTGGCAGTTTCTTAAAAACACTAAACTTGATAACTGCCATAAGATTCAGAAGTTAGATTCCTAGGCATGAATCCCAGAGAGAAGAAAACATATGTTCATATGAAAACCTATCCATGAATATTCATAGAAGCTTTATTTATAATAGCCCCAAAGTAAAAAGCCCCAAATACTTTTAATGGATAGATGGTGAAACAAACTGTGGTACTTCCATGCCATGGAATACTATGCAGCAGTAAGAGTAAATGGTTGATGTGCAACAACTTGAATGATCTAAAGGGAATTATGTTGAGTGAAAAACGCAGTATCAAAAGGTTGATCCCATTTATATAGCATTCTTAAAATAATGAAATTATAGAGATAGGAAAACATATTAGTGGTTGCTAATATGTTAAGGTTGGGATTGAATGGGTAAAGTTATAAAAGGATAGCATAGGGAGGTTTGTGGTGATGAAACAGTTTTATATCTTGATTGTGGAGGTGTTTACATGGCTATACATGTGATAAAACTGAATCGAGCTGTAGACCCACAGATGAATGTATGTAAAGCTAGTGAAATCTGAATAAACTCTGGATTGTACTGATGTCCATTTGCTGGTTTGGGTATCATACTATAGTTATGTAAGATGCCTTCTGTAATGGGAACTGGGTGAAGTGTACGTGGACTGCCTATACAATTTTTTGGGAAACTTTCTGTGAATTGATAATTATTTCAAATTAAAAATTTTAAAAATATATCAGAGATATTCTCACCTCCCAGAAGGATTGCTGTCTCTCTAAGTAAACTGCCAACAAATTTGTGCTTTTCTTTGTTAAATGTTTTTGATACACTGCTTTTGTTCCTTCCCTGTTAGGAAAACCTCCTGATGAGAATTCACTTCCACATTGCTGATGAAACCAAAGAGGACATATGTACTGCCCAACACTGCATCTCCCACCAGAAGTTTGCGATGACACTGTTTGAGCAGGTGAACCTTATCTTTATCCATATCATTTCTTAGATCTTTTCTTTAAGAACACTTTATCCTAGGATGTAGAGTGTCACATGGGCACCAACACAATTAATGACTGTAGCCTGCTGCTTTCACTTTTTTCTCCCTGGGCTTAGTGTGTATGTACCAGCTGTGGCGCCACTTCTGACCCGCTGCCTTTCATCCAGATGGTGCATTATATCTCCACTACTTCCCTTTGGTGAGTCTTACAGCATTTCGTTCTCTGTATTCTTAGGCATTCCTGGGTTTTAACCAAAGGCTCCCAGGTAACTTGTAGCCTTATTGCTGAGTCTTTGCTATACTGTGGGATCTCAGAACAGTCATTTTGAATAACCTTTGTTCTCCTCCTTTCCTGTCCCATCTCTCGCCTTCTCTTAGTCCCAGTTCTGGCCAGCAGAGTAGGAGGAGGAATGGGGATTCTATGAGCTTTGGATTTGGGGACCAGCAGGCTCACTTACTCTGTGGGACACTGAGGCTGATCAGGACAAGGGGTTTTAGCATAGTGGGCAGAGGAGGGAAGTCAAATATGTGAGTTAGGAATCTGCATGAATGATTTATTTGATTTAGCTATAACTCTGTACAATTCCCCAAATCATCCCCCTTCAACTTCCCATCTCAAAGCAATCAGGCTATTTGTATGCTGGAAAGACGAGAAAAACCCTCACCAAGCATGTTTGGTGAGCTGCTGCAGAATGCCAGCACCATGGGGGATCTGCGGAACTGCCCGGTGAGTTGTCAGGTGTGGGGTTCAGAGTGGGGAGGAGAGCCCTTGGGTTAGTGGAATTAAGGCAGAGCCAGTGGGAAACATGTCAAACTGACCTTATATGTGTATTTCAGAGCAACTGTGGAGAAAGGATTCGGATTCGCCGTGTGTTGATGAACGCGCCACAGATTATCACAATTGGGCTGGTATGGGACTCAGACCACTCAGACTTGGCAGAGGATGTCATTCACAGCTTGGGCACCTGCCTTAAGCTGGGTGATGTGAGTGTTAATTACCTGTATTTCTCACTTGGAGTTCTTGTATCTTAGTATTGCTCAAGGGCAGTGAGCTCTAAACACAAAGGTGTATCCTAAATGACAAATATTAAAGAGTTTTGAGCAAATGCATTGTGTATATATGTAAACACGCATATGCATGCATGTTCATGCTCACATACCTTCTTTGTATAGGTGGCAAAGGCCTTTTGGAAGATATGGAATGATCTTGGCCTTGAAAAATATGATGGGCAGAGTGTAGCTAGTGATAAAAATGAACTAATTCAGTACTTCTTGGTGGTCCATTGGTTAAGAGTCTGCATGCCAGTGCGGGAGACATGGGTTTGATCCCTGGTCCAGGAAATTCGCATGTGCCACAGAGCAAATCATCCCATGTGCAACAGGTGCTGAGCCTGCAGACCCTAGAGGCTTGCTCTGCAATAAGAGAAGCCACTGCAGTGAGAAGCCTGAGCATCACAACTGGAGAGGAGCCCCTACTCACTGAATCTAGAGAGAGCCCACACAATAATAAAGACCCAGCGTGGCCAAAAATAAATAAATAATTTTTAAAAAATCAAATAATTCATAGAGTTATCCAGTGCTCTGCTCATTGTTAGTTAATACCAGTGTATTCATCCATGGGAGGTGGTAAGGTCAAAGAGGGAAGCAGTCCTGACTAGTGCTGCTATGGGCGACGAAAGAGGTAGAAGTTGGTGACATGAGTCCTAGATATTAAATTCATGGTGAGGAACCAGTGTCTGTTGACATGGTAATGAATTGGCTTGGAAGAGAGTTCTAGAAGGTTTTCCATGCATCTATTCAGGGAAATAGGGAACAGACTTCAAACATGGGGTCATTGCCTTATCAGCTGTACGTCCTAGTGTAGGTACAGCCAGAATTTTCCTTCGGTTCAGAAGAGCCAGGAAGTTTGTAATTTTCTTTCTACTGGTTTCTCTCTCTGATGGTCCTGTGACTAAGGAGATCCTTTGTTGTATTTTAATGTCATTATGTTATGGCTGAGAATAAGTGGACTACTGGGATCTTATTTTAGATTTCCTTGCCAAAGAATCTCTGACATAATAGCTATGCACAATAAAAGCTCACTTTTTCTAAGTTTCTGTAGCGTATGTTTTCTCTTCTACTTTTGTTTTGTTTTTATGATTGCTTTCTCAACCAAACAGGTTCCTTAAGGCAAGAGTCCTTGCCTTCAAACATTTTATATGTCTCTTTGTACCCAGGACGGTGCTGGACATCTTGGAATTGAAATGCTAGTAACCAGTGTGAAGCAATTGCTCCTCCTAAGGCCTTTCTTATCCTCTATTTAGTGTCGCAGCAGGAACTTTGTATTTATGGCACCAGCTGATAAATAACTTTTGAAACTTAAGAATGTTTTATTTATTTACTTTTTCCAACACTCCTGGCTCCTCTTAGGATAAGACCCAGCAAGAAAGATTATTAACATGTATGAAGAAACATCACCACCTTACCGGTTTGACCATTTTCTCTCTTTTCCTGAAATTCTGCCTTTTTAGGTTCATTATTTATGATAATATGGACTAGCAAAACAAGAAGCAAGTCAGTACCTTAATTAAGAAATGATGGAGTCTTCTGAGAGATGATATGAGAGGGTTGAGTATGTGACTGTTCTTTCCTTTCTCCTCTTTCCCCACAGCTGTTTTTCAGAGTGACAGATGACCGGGCCAAGCAGTCTGAACTCTACTTAGTAGGAATGATCTGTTACTATGGCAAACATTACTCTACATTCTTTTTCCAAACAAAAATCCGCAAATGGATGTATTTTGATGACGCTCATGTCAAGGAGGTAGGAATATTCAGACCCTTCTTGACATGTTTGGTGACTGGAACAAAAAACTACAGTTACTTGTCTTCAGTGTTTCATTTTCATAATTTTATTGTCCAGCTACCTGTCTGTAATTTATGTATGTCAGTCTTGCTCCCCCAACGGAACAAGTTCCTTGAAGACAGGATCAATTTATCTTCTATATTGTCTTTGAATCCCTTCACCAAGCATTCAGCACAGTTCTGTATTTATAGTTGAAAGGGCTTTTTTAATACATTCATTTGATTAGAGCAAGAACAATCTATTGTCTCAAATTAGCTTATAAGCTTAGCACGGAATTCAGAATTCCAAATCTTGGAATTAACAGTGAGTAATGCTTTGTCTCAGAACTGCTATAAATTGTTCTCTAGTAGTTATCTCCCTGAAATACTCTATCATGGATTAACATGTTTTGGGATAGTGTAAAAAAAAAAATAAGGCCATGATGATATTTAAAGCTGGAAATTTGGTGCTATCTAAACCATGGAGTGTGTGGTTGAAGTAGTTTAAGTGATCCATGTGAGTTAGGAAGTCTCTTGTGATAAGGTTAGCAGCTAGGAAATTGCTGACTCTAATCTATACCAACTTGTGGACCTTTCATAATATCTTCCACAAATAGTAAAGTCTGTCAAATTCCCTGATTCTCTTCTTTGTCTCTTTTTTACTGTTGTAATTTTGGGCAACTTATGTAAGTTCTTTGAGCTTTAGATTTTTTTATTTGAAAAATAATACCATGCCTTATAAAATAGTAAATAAGATTTGTATGAAAAAAGCATATAAATCTATTTCAGTTAAAATAACTCAATTATACATTTACTGAACATCTATTATGAAATAAGCACTGTGCTAGTTGTCTGATTGTAAGAACACACCATGTAAGAATGTGACTGGTCCAGACTTAGGAGAGGGTCAGTGTGGGGATTTGATTGGATTGTTGTTTCCATAGCTGTCCTGTCACTTTTTCCCACTGCTGTGGCAGCACTGAATCCAGCACAAAGCTAAAGCTGAAGGGTTCAGCTGTCCATTCTAAGCAGTTTGACATTTTATGTCCTGCCACGTGTGAACTCTGAAACGGAATGTCGCTTATGCTAAGGCAGTCTGTGAGAGAGTTTCTGTGTGCTCTCTAGCTTCATACAAGTGATTTTAATATTTAGGAGAAAATGATAGAAATGCAGATTTCAAGCAAGGGCTTTTGTTTCATGTCTGTGAAAAGAAATTGATCCCCAAGTACAACTGAAATTCCCTCACATAGCATATTCAGCTTTGAGAACTTCTATTCATATTTCAGAACTGAATTGATGTTTTACATGAATAAAAATAATTTTATTCATCATTCCTATCTGTTATAGGGTTTTAGCTAAAAGGATTTCACAAAAAAAGATTTAACAAAAAATTCATTGGCACTTTCCTGGTGATCCATTGGTTAAGATTCTGTGCTTTCACTGGGCGGGAGGCACAGGTTTGATCCCTGGTTGGGGAACTAAGACCTGCATGCCTCATGGTGTGGCCAAAAATTAAAAAAAAAAAATTTATCTTAAATTTAGATCTATGATCTCTTTTGTTGTCTTTTTACCCACTTCTTGTCTTTTCATCTCTTTTTCTTTAGAAAAATAGAACAGAAAGATAGATGTTGAATTATGGACATGAAGTGTAATTGTCTTGCTTTTCTGGTTGTTCTGGTTCAGATTGGGCCCAAGTGGAAGGATGTGGTGACCAAATGCATCAAGGGGCATTATCAGCCTTTGCTGCTGCTTTATGCAGATCCCCAGGGTACCCCAGTGTCCACCCAGGACCTGCCCCCCCAAGTTGAGTTCCAGTCATACAGCAGGACGTGCTACGATAGTGAAGATTCAGGTGAGCAGCCCAGCTCTTTACTTTTCTCCCTCCCCCTGGCCACATGGTGACTAGATAGTAGGGTCTCATAGCCATGAGCCTAGCACTGAACTTAGCTTGGAGGAAGATAAGGCAGATTTGCCGACTCGTGCTGAAGCCCAAGCTGTGCCAGGCTTGGTTTCCTTCACTGTTGTCTGAACGTGTTGTCTTGATCACCTGGCCCCAATTCAAAAGTCAGAAGGAAGTTATGTTGATTTAGACTGAGATATTAAGTTTATGAGGGAAACCTCATTATTTCACCATCTCATATTGCTAAGGTTACTGATTCTTACTAGCAATTTAACAGTGATGTGAGTTGTTAGGACCAAGAAAATGATCCGAGTTACTACAAAGTTAGTCACTTTGTTTGGGATGAGAGATTTTTGTTTTAAAATGCCAGGTGCAGAAGCAATATTCCTTAGCTGTTCACTTCTTTTTTTTTTTTTTAGCTGTTCACTTCTAATTCAATTATTTGGAACTTAAATCATGTTTTCCTGTGGAAACAATTTCAGCTTTGTTGCTAAGATCTCAGGCTGTCCCTCAGAAATTCATCCTATAATAGAAATACAACCCTAATGGTTTTGGCTTGATTCCTAAAATGAGGAAAAAGTCATGTTCTTTTTCCTCTTTGGGATCTAGGGCTGGATGGCCCTGAGTATAATTGTGAAAGAGAAGAGACTCATCTTTGGAATCTCTTCCTCTTTCTTTGTACCTCCCTCCCACTTGGTATGTTCTTCCCACCCTTGTACCCCGCCCAGACCTGCTCTGCTGCTTCTCCCTTCAGTCAAACACCCATTCACACTGTTGTGCTTATCTCAGCCAGGTGTTCAGAGGAAAGTAGTCTAAAGGAACCAAGTCACACCAAAGTATAAATAACTGCCCCTGGATGTCTCATGCATATTAAACATGCTTATAATTTATACTATCAATGAAATTTTTACAAGTGACTTTTCTGACAGTATAGGAGAAAAATTATGGGATAGGGAAACAACTTGTTATGTGTGCCAGGTCAGCCTGGGACTTGCCATCTCATTAGATTTTACTTTTCGCAGCTTTTTCCTTTCTTCATACTTTTCCCTCCTTAGACTTTCTAAAAGCCCCACAGTTTTTCACAGTGGCAGGCAAATTGAGGGCTTCAGCAAGGCAGGGGCAGGAGTGGAAGGCATTATTTGTATGTGTGTGTGTTATCTGAGGTTGGGTGTCAGAAAGAACAGCCCTGGTATATCCTTATTATCCTTCTGTTTAGGAAGTTCCAACTTCATGGACCTTTACTGCCACCCAACTCTTTGGCCCTCTGTCTGTCACTGTCATCTCTCGCCTCACCTCTGCCTGTCTCCTCCTTCCCTCAGGGAGGGAGCCCTCCATCTCAAGTGATACTCGAACAGATTCCTCAACGGAGAGCTATCCCTACAAACACTTCCACCATGAGTCTGTGGTCAGTCACTTCTCTTCTGATTCTCAGGGGACAGTCATCTATAATGTGGAGACTGATTCCACGTCTCAGAGCAGTCGGGACACAGGTAGGGACTTAACACAGTCAACCCTGCCTGCCTTATTCAGTTCTACATAGAGGGTCTCCCAAGAAAAGGGAAATGGGGCAAGTCAGAAATGTTTGTCATGCAAAGGGGGCAATACAGAGAACTTGGGTAATTGAGTGGGATGAAAGGAAGCAATGCAATTCTGAATGAACAGTGGTGTTCCACTGGACATGTGCCTGTCAACAGCAGCCTCTCAGTAAGGACCATTGTAATGAGATTGTTTATGTGATTATAATATGATTGTTTGTCCTGAAGTCTTTTTCTAAAGACTTTCCTCCTGCTGTGCTCTTGATCCCTCATTCTCATGGTGCCCCACTAACCTTTGTGATCCTGCACCTCATCATGTTCTTATCCCGAAGGGATTTGAGAGAAGGGATGTATTTATGGGTGGGGAACCTACTCATCACCTTGCGAGGCTTCCTGAGGACAGGGAACCAAAAAGATGGAAAGCTAGCCTGTTTGTTATTGTGAATTCCATGCAGAGAACGTTCTTGAATTGTCCTGTTAATCTATAGAAGATTGTGCCTGTGTCAGTAGAAGAAATCATTACAGGGTATAAAAGGAAGAACAGTGAGTGACTGCTGAGATGAGAAAAGCTCATCATTGAAAGCATAGAACAGTATCCATACTCTTAGAGACTTGGGAATTAGTGTTCTCATGGCTTCAGATTGGTGGTTTACATCCTGTGCATGTCCTTAAAAAAAAAAATAGAGATTCTCAAACATATTCAAAAGTATACAGAATAGTATGCAGCCCCTTCATGTACCTGTCACCTAGTTTCAATAATTATAACTCTTTGTCAGTCTAGTTTTATCTGTACCTCTGCCCACTTCTCCTACTCATGGATTATTTTGAAGCAAATTCCAGGCATTATATCACCTTTCCCATAAGTATTTTAGTATACATCTAAAAGAATCATTGTTTAACATACCATTATCATATTTAAAATATATTAATAACTTCTTAAAACCACTAAATAACCAGTGAGTGTTCAAATATCCTATTGTCTATAAATTTCATATTTTAAATAGTTTTTTTTTTCACTCAGAATCCAAATGAGGCACATTGTAATGGGTTGATAAATCTTGTATTTCTTTTAATCTGCAGCTTTCTCCTCTATTTCTTCCTTTCTATTATTGTTGTAGTACTAGATAGTTTGTGCTATAGTTTCTCCTCATTCTAAATTTTGCTGATTGTGTCTATATGGTAAACCTTAGCATATTTCTTTGTCCTCTGTATTTTTTATAAATTGGTAGTTGAATACAGTGTTTTGGTCAGATTCATGTTGGATTTCTTTTGATGACTGTTGTATGAATGACTATGGCAAAGTGTGATTTTTGTTAGATGATATTTCTGAAACTGAACCAGGGAGAAACCAAGTCACAGGATAAATGAGGAGAGTCAGGTTTATTTTAAGGGTTTGTGAATGGCTGAGGTTGGGGAAGCATGCACATTGGTTTAACATTTGTGGATTTAGTTGTTCCAGTTGATTTCCTCCTTTCTTAGATCTTTCTTATCAGCCCAGAGATTGCAAATTATTAGATAAAAGCAATAAAAGATTGTGTTGGTAAGTGATTGTAAATATGTAGCCATACCATTACATCTTATACCTGAATATGTGCAAGGATTTTCACAACTGGCATATGAAAGCAGATTTCTGCTGGCTCTCAGACATTTTGAGAACCCTAGGGGGTTTCCTCTAAGCCTACATTCCAGTTTATTTCAGTTGCTTAATTCACCTTTGGCTTCCAGCAGCTTAGACCTTTAGAATCTGACTGTGGTCAGATCATACATATGTATATATACATACAGTATTGTACATTTACATACTGTGGTCATGAAATGTGGCAAGTTACATAAAAGAGCCCAGATCTCCCGGGTTTCCCCGAGATTAGTATTGAGGAACTATGAAGTGTAATCTCTGGGTGAAGTCAAATTTGGTAAGACTTGGGTTATGGCTGGGAATGATTTGAATTATTCAAAGTTCAAATGGCCTTTGGGATGATTCACACTTAAGGAATGTTTAGAATTGGGTCTTAAAGCCATACACAGTCAGAGCTTTTGTGGGCAAAGGCTAGGGCACCAGATGTAACAAAAATTAGCGTTCACTTCATTTGTGTTGTTAAATAAATAGATGGAAAACTCTGTCTTCTTTTGATGAGAATGAAAATATATTGATACATGACATTCTTATATAATCTTTAAAACTTTTGCTTTTTAAAAACTACCAAGTAATGCGTCCTTCTGAGTCACCAGGATGGAATACTAGGGAGAGTGAGACTGGTCATTGCTCAGGAGACACTGTAAATTTGGAAATTCCTAATAAATACTTGAGCTTTTCTGCCTTTGTCTACTGAGAGATTCCTGCTGCACTTAAATCAGATGCATAGTTTTGGGCTCTACAGCTTCTGATCCCCTAAGTCTGGTGATGCTGCCTTGAATCCCAAAGGGAGAGTAGGTTCTCAGATGGATGGAGGTCAGTCTCAGGTACCAACTTACCCTCATTTCCTTGTTTCCTTCAGGACACCTGACTGATAGTGAATGTAATCAGAAACTCCCGTCCAAGAAAGGGTCACTGATAGAGCGCAAGAGGAGCGCTGGCCGGGTCAGGAGGAAAGGCGATGAGTCTCAGGCCTCAGGGTACCACAGTGAAGGCAAGCCCCCCTGCATAGCTCCTCTTTCTTTCTGTACTCTGTCTCGCTTGTGTCACATTTCAGCCTGTGGCTTCTTTTCTCTGCTCAAAGGCCTTTCTTTTTCGACTCTGGGGTCTGGGTATCCATGATGACTTTAAACATTTGTAGTTGTTTCATTCTTTGTGTTTTTAGGAGAAACACTGAAAGAGAAGCAGGCTCCTAGGAATGCCTCCAAATCATCCAGCAGCACCAACAGGCTAAGGGATTTTAAAGAGACAGTCAGCAATATGATCCATAACAGACCATCCCTGGCTTCTCAGACCACCCTAGGACCTCCTTGTGTGGGGAGGGGAGGAGAACAGACTGACAGGAAACCTGCTCGGAGCCTGCCTTTACACGCTCGTGATTGGGAAGTAGAGAGCACCAGCAGCGAGTCCAAATCCAGTTCTTCCAGCAAGTATCGTCCGACATGGAGGCCCAGGCGGGAGGCTCTGAATATCGACAGTATCTTTAGTAAGGACAAAAGGAAGCACAGTGGCTATACCCAGCTTAGCCCCTTTTCTGAAGATTCAGGTGAGAAGATAATTAGGGAAGAATTGAGCTTTTGAATAAAGTGGATTTATATATTAAAAAAAAAAAAAAGCCTGGGTTTTCTGGTAGACTTGGCAAGGTACATTTTTACGTAGAAGGGTAAAAATTTTACTCTCATGAGTGGCCTATGAGCTCAATGAATGAGTCACTAGAGGGAGGGGTTAGTTCTGTCTTGATTTGAGGCAGATGCTAAATCTACCTCCCGTTCCACACTTGTCCTTTGATCGGTATAGCAAAAGAATTTACACCAGATGAGTCAAGCAAGCCACCTGCTTACGACATTAAAACTGGAGGACCAAGCCCCCAGTACAAGATCTGGGGCCCAGCACGGCCAGGCTGTCACCTTTTAGAGCAACACCCTCGCCTAATCCAGCGAATGGAATCTGGCTATGAGAGCAGTGAGAGGAACAGCAGCAGCCCTGTCAGCCTGGATGCAGCCCTGCCTGAGAGCTCAAGTGTCTGCAGGTATTGTTTGACTTTTGAATAGCTGTATTGTTCCTCACAGAAATGTAAGCCACCGAGAGGCTTCTTAACTTAAAGAGATGCACTGTCTTACCTTCTTGTGGGCAAGCAAACTGCTGTATCAGTTTCTGTGGCAACAGCACCCTCTGCTGGGGGAAGAAGCAAAGGCATTTGAGAAAGAGGAGACACCTTTTTTAAAGTATTATATATAAAATAACTGGTAAACTTCTAATGAAAGAATGAGTTAGTGAATTAAAACTTGTATACGATCAGAGAGAAAATCCAATTGTTATTTATTCCTGCCTTTTATTTTACTATTTTTTTTTTTAGGTTCACCCGGGATTCTGTGTCTTATGAAGCCAATGATATTCATCATTCCATAAGATAATGATGACAATTTAATAGTGGTCATTGCACCTTGTCCATAAAATCTATTTGCTTTATATATTTCAGATCTCCATACATTGTTTTTTTACTGAGTTGCCTCAGAGACAAGTTTGCTAACAGTATAGTTGCTTTGGAAGGAGGGACATCATCTACAAGATTGATAACTATATCATCATATTTTGCCACTGCTCTTCCCTGACCTCAGACCCTGTTCAGTTTTACACATGTGAAGATGCTATAAAAGTGTAGGAAAGAGGAAGGCAGTCTATATGAGAACATTTGTTTATTAATTCATTAAATAAATTTTGTGCCAGACACACACAAAACGTGAATGAGGTGAGATAAGATGGGGGAACGAATGGGTGTTTTGATATTCATAAATAGTTTAGCAGATATTTTAATTAGTTTGGTGCTTTGGGTTTTTGTTCTTGCTTTTGGTGGGATTTTGGTCCTATGAATGTTGCTATTTACCAGTGTTCTGATGCTTTCCCTCGCCTCTGGTTTCTGTTTTGAAGGGATCCAAGTGCTAAGAGGTCAGCGGGGTTGGCCCCCTCCTGGCGTCACATCCCGAAGTCTCACAGTAGCAGCATCCTGGAGGCAGATTCCGCCGTGTCCAGGAGTGGCTGGATGAAGAATCAGCCACTTTCAGGTAAGTGGAGGGACACTGGATTTGGAGAGCTGGATTTCACTGCCAGTTCTGTCTGGGCAACAGCCTAACCTGAGCACATTTGAAGTGAGAGGGCAGTTGCACTTTGTTCCACCAGAATGTGAATGTGAAGGCATTTGATCTGCTCTCTATCCAGGTTTATCTTTTTCATTGTCGTTCTATCACAGCTCTCCTGCTTGCTCCTTTCCTTCTGGTGGAAGCGAGAAGGAACAGAAATATGGTGAACAGTGTCAGGAACACCTGCTTTCCTCAGAAGAATGAGTCCTGGGGCTTCCCTCGGTAGAGAGGCATCCTCTTTGGAATGGACTTTTTATTGTTTAGTTCTCTGAATTGAGATAACAAGGGGGACATGTAGACGATAGACAAAATTGGGAAATGAGCAGGTCAGAGCTACCCTTAGCCCTGCCTCTCTATCCTGCCTTGTTTTTCCTTCTTGAACGTGCCTCTGTCCCTCCTTCAAAGAAGCTCTAAAGGGATGATCTGACTCTTTCACACTAGATGTACGTGACTGGAAATGGGTGAAAATGTACTTTCTTTAAGAGCAGCTAGTATTTTTGCAAGTCAAAGCTTAAAGATAAAGGAATATTGGAATTTTAGGAATATTGGAATTTTATATCCTATTTACATTCTTCTCACAACACACATATATACTTAGAGTGCATATTCAAATAAGCAAAATAAATAGATCCTTACTTAGAGCAGAAAATCAAGGTAATAGCTATATAGTCTCCCCAAGCTGGAGACTTTTTGTGATTTTTGAGGGAAGATAATATGTATTCAGTATTGTTTAGTCAGCTGAGGATTTCTGGGATCTGCTTGTCTAACTTAGAAATCAACCTTCTCTGAAAGATGTGTTTCATCATCCCCCTTTTTTTCTGGTATGTTAGATGAATTGGGAGTCGCATGTGTGGGCAGAAGTTTAATTATGGTCTGATTTAATGAGCATCTGAATATAGATTTGTGGCCAGCTCACTAGGGAGATAAGGACAGAATACTACATGGCAAACTGTAGAGATGAGACCAGGAACTTTACTGGTTTGACAACCAGTTCTCTTAATGACCACGGGAAGTGCTTAGACGTGGCTGGAAGCGTGATATACAGCAGAAATAAAAAGGTATGAACTCTTTGAGGTATGAGTGAGGGGCATATACTGCTAACATCTTGCAAAGCAGAGCAATGCATGTAGGGGCAGATAATCTCTGAAATTCTGGGCTAGAGTAGGTTACAGTTAGAAACCCATGGAAGAAATTTATTCTTCCTAATGAAATTATAGGTTTGGTTTATTTCCCACATTTTGTCTCATATTGACTAACATGGCTTTGAGAAACCTGTGCTCTTACTTTAGCCTTTCTCCCTTCTCTTTTCTTTAACAGTCGATAGCTTTTCAGCACATTAAAGATTGAATCTCATGACTTCACTGATAGCCCTAATTCTAGACTAGCTGTATAGAATTCACCAACTGGATTCCTCAACTTGTAAAAGATGTTTGGCAAGGAGTTAGAATAAATTCCTTATATACTATACTACACTACCACCCTCCTTGTATAGTAAACTCTATTTTTTTTAATCTGGTGACTGTAATTTTTATTTTATTAAAAAAAAATTTTTTTCCATTTATTTTTATTAGTTGGAGGCTAATTACTTTACAACATTGTAGTGGTTTTTGTCATACATTGACATGAATCAGGCATGGATTTACATAATTACAGAGGTTAACACAAGTCCAACAGTTTGGTAACTTGCCCTGTGCCTCTTCAGTTTGAAGGAACCAGTGTTACCGTTATGGTATATATCTTTCAACATCTATTTCTATGCTTTGTATTCTATGTACAAGTATAATGATGTTTATTGTAGTTGTTGTTTAGTTGTTAAGTTGTGTCCAACTCTTTTGCGACCCCATGGACTGTAGCCCACTAAGCTCCTCTGGCCATGGAATTTCCCAGGCAAGAATACTGGAGTGGATTGCCATTTCCTTCTCCAGGGGATCTTTTCGACCCAGGGATCGAACCCACGTCTCCTGCATTGGCAGGTGGCTTCTTTACCACTGACCCACCTGGGAACCCCTACATAAACTTATTACTACCATTTAAAAATAAATAAAAGGAAGTTATACTATAGATGTTGTTATGTCACTTGGCTTTTCACTTAATTTATCATGGATATCCTTTTAGATCTATTTGATTCCACCTATGAACACTGATAAAATTAAGGTTTACTACTATGGATATTTTAAAAACTCATTTGGAAGGTGGTGGAAATTTAGGGAGAGAAACTGACTTGCTTGAAACTTCCTGGTGAGTCAGTGGCAGTAGAGAATGCTCTTTAACAGTTAAAAGCTTGGATTATGATTTTAACCTATTTGACTTTAATTCAGCTTTACCATTTGCCATCTTTGTGATTTGAGGCAAGTTATTTATTGTCTTTGTGACTCAGTTTCTTCATTCTTAAAATGTGGGAAGTAATAGTATCTACCTCTCATATTGTGAGAATTACATGAAATAATACAGGTGAAAGTGCTTTCAACTATGCCTGTCACATAGTAAATATGCAACAAATGTTAGTTGCTGTGTTGTTATTTTTGTTATAAAGTGCTCAATAAATATCATTCTTATTATTCATGGCCCAGGCCTCATCCTGAATCTGATATGGAAAACACTATCCAAATTTGCATTCCAAACTGAAGCCAAGAGTTCCCAAGAAAAAGCAGTGTGGTGACCATGAATATAGCAGGTGCTTAGTCTTGGTTATGGGAAAGTGGCAATTTCTCTTCTCCCTTGCTTGTATTACAGGTGGGGAGATATCTTCCAAAACTGAACTGGATGAATTGCAGGAAGAAGTGGCCAGAAGGGCACAGGAGCAGGAACTTCGGAGGAAACGAGAGAAAGAATTAGAGGCAGCTAAAGGGTTTAACCCTCATCCCAGCCGCTTCATGGACTTGGATGAACTGCAGAATCAGGGTAATTGTTGTGAGCATTAGGTTGTGGGTGATGGGGACAAAGAGAGGGGGAAGGAAAAAGGTATTTGAGCTCATAAATTCTGTCTTTTCTTTAGCAGAGTTGTATTTTATCTTAATTTGGCCGTTTCAGTGAGAACTAAAGTAGGAGGTGACAAGCCTGTTGGTTAGAGACAGGCACTGATTTGGGGCCTGCCTGTTAAAAGCTTGTAGATTAGAGATAGTATAGTATTCATGGAAAGTATTTCTGATGAGCAGCTATAGAAGGTGTAAATTAAACTATTCACAGTTCAGAAACAGCAGAAGAAGGCAATGAGTGAACCACACTGACTGTGAGGGGAATTCTTCTTGCTCAGCAGAAAAATGCCCTTGAGATTTCCTATCTGGAGCTTCAGGGAAGTGGATCTACCAAGCAGGTTCTAAGAACAAGAGGCTGACTGCCTTTTCATCCTGTGATGGCTCATCTTCCAACCTCACACAGTTTTCCTGGCCTTTATTTCAGCTGCTCTGGCTGCCCCAAATTAGTTACTGTTTTTTTCTTCAATTGCTTTAAGATGTCATTTTACACCAGCAGAGACTAGCCTTCAAAATAAGAGTTTAAAAAGGCTGAGGCATCTATTTTAAATAGGCCCTGAAACCTATATCTTTGTTTGTCTGTGAAATAAATTATTGTTCAGAACCTCCAGCTAGATACAGCAGATTGTGCTAAAGCAGTGTAAAGAACAGGAGCCTGGGCTGTTTTGGGTGGCTGCTTTCTCTTAATCACTTCTTTCTTCTTATCAACACTCAGAGAAACTTCCTGGGCTTTTTGGGGGGCTCCTTTTCTCCTCTAATTCTACTGTCTTTTGATTCAAGGAAATTGTTGCTTTATACTTCCCAGAATTTTGTATTTGTCTCCAAATTATCTTACCTTTCCTAATTTCTTAGATATCCCTATACTTAGATTTTTTTCCTTAAGCTATATCACATTGGTGTCTCAACTTTATGTTGCTTCTGAAAGAGGGGTCTTGTCATCTTCCTCCCTTGCCTTTCTCTCCCCTCTGTCAGTTGGGTAGTACTTTAGGGTTGAGAGTGTGTCCCTCTGGTTGTATTTCACTGTCAGTTCTCCAGATGTTTTGGTTTAGCATCTCCTGGAAGAGCAAGGAATGGAGTGCTAAGAATTCTGGAGGATAAGAATTATAATTTAGTACAATGATTGGCCAGCTGTAGTTTTCCTGTGTCTCTGTAGAGAACATTTTTTAATTGCTGTAGCCACCACCTCTGATTATAAAGGTTGCATAGATTCAGTTGATTTTAGATATAATGAGAAAATTTCAGGCCTTTGTACCCCCTACCGCAGGGACCATAACTCTAGTGGTGGAGTAGAACCCAAATGCTACTTCCACTGTCTTCCCATTATTCTCCAAAAGTTATTAGTGGACTAAGGAGTGAATGTTAGGGGTATGGAAGAGCTTTTCTTACCATGTCCAGCTGGAGGTTAATGGAGGATGGGGATACTATGGGAGAAATAATATGATTTCTTTTTTCTTGTGAGCTTGTGAAACTCACCATTAATTCCAATCACAGATGAAGTTACATTACAGCTTACTACTGATTTATGGTTATGAGTGAGTAAAAGGCAGTGGGGTACATAAACTTGAGGATTCTTTTACAGAAGTTACATTTATAGTAGTTTGTCACTCTTTATCTGGCACTATCCTTCAACTCCTGTACCTGCTTTGGCACATATTCACTTTTGGGGAGAAGGCAACATTTCATGGTCATTGTGTGGGAAGGTGACTCTTCTATGGTAGGTTGGGTGAGCAAGGGCAGGACAGAAGTGAATACTTAGCCGTGCTGATGAAGGATAAGTGCGTGCAAACCAGGAACAAAGATGGTTGCACTGACTTGGAGATATATTGAAGTTGGGACTGTAGAACACCTGTGCCCGAGAGGAGTACTGAGTTTCCAGGTGCGGGTGGTATAGAGAGGACTCTGAATTGGTACAGGAAAGAAGTGTTACACATGACTATCCACAGAGTCATGAGGCCCACTTTTGCCTTAACACAACAGTGGCGGTCTCGGTGGAGATCTGGGGTTCTGGACACACATTGCCAAGATGTATCTTGTTGCAATCTTGTGGGGAAGCAGGTCATTTTAAGGCAGAAGGACCCACCCTTCTGTTATAGACAGTACTTTGTTCTTTCTTGAGGGACGTCCTAAGAGGTCTTGGAGTTGAAATATGTGGTGGGCATATGACATGCCCCTCCTTCATGGGTTTGGTAAGGTCTCAGTTAAGGCAAAGAAAAATGGATGTCCTACATGTTTCAGAGAATTTTTACTAGTAATGGTCAGTTGGAATAAAGGTGGACCAAAGACTCAGCAGCGAGGATCTATGTACACCGAAAGGAAACAACGGTACATAGGAAAAGTTGGAACAGGTTGTTATGAAAATGAAAAGTGCTGGCCCTTTCAGGGAGGAATGACGGCTTTGAGAGGTCCCTGCAAGAGGCAGAGTCAGTGTTTGAAGAGTCGCTGCGTCTGGAGCAGAAGGGAGACTGTGCTGCCGCTTTGGCTCTCTGTAACGAAGCTATCTGTAAGTAACTCTAACCGCTATGGCTATGGCATTTTTGACTAACTTCATGATAGTTATTCACTCAGATGGGATAAAAAGAGCTTTTAGGTTTCATTACTTTCACTCCCCCAAACTGAGGCCCTTTAGCTATCTTTTCCTTTCAGATTTCTAAATGTGCTAGGCACTGTCACTGTGGCCTGTGGATATTTACTGGAAAAATCTCAGCAGGAGTCTACAAATGAACTATCCAGCCATACCTATCTCCTAATCCCCAAATAAAGTTAGGTCTCAGATGCGAGGTTAGTCTGCTCTTGTGCTAGTTACTGACTAGCGCAGTGGAGCTTAGGGCAGGAAGAAATGAATAAATTGGCTGTGACTTCCTAGGCCTGTGACTTCTTACTGCATATTTGATTCTTTACGTTTCTCCCCTGCCTTCCTGGTATGCTGCAGCATAGGGTTACAGCAAGGGACTAAGAATTTGTTCTTAAATATGACCCACAAGAAGCTGTGTTCTATAAAGACAGATGCAGGTTTGGATCTTAGTTCTGCGGTTGACTGTCAGGAAGGGGGAGTTGGGAGCAGAGAATGGAGACCAGAGTTGGACAGGTCAGTTGCAGAGGACAATGAGAGTGGTAGCATCTGAGATGGAAGCACCAATTTATCTTCTTGACTCATTTTAGTTTAGCTTTTTGTTTGTTTGATTTTTAAATTTGAATTAACCTGTTTGGCCTCCATGGCTTCCATGAATGTTCCTTACAACCAGAGGCAGCCTTGTGCCCTGGATACCATATGCATGGTCCATGCCTTGTAGTTCTGCTGCCTATTTTCAGTTTTATTGCATAACTTTGCTCATTTTTGGTTGAATTTTATTTTTTATTTTTGTTTGTATTTTTGTGTTCTGTTTCTGCTATATTTTCTTTTGCATTTTAGCTAAACTAAGACTTGCCCTGCATGGTGCCAGCTCTAGCACGCACAGCAGAGCCCTAGTCGATAAGAAGTTGCAAATCAGTATTCGAAAAGCACGGAGCCTGCAGGATCGCATGCAGCAGCAGCAATCATCTCAGCCGCCGTCGCAGCCCTCAGCCTGCCTCCCCTCACAGGGGGGAGCCCTCCCTCAGCCAACAAGGTAGTGCCTGGGAACCATTGTAGTTTATGGACGCCAGGGGAGGAAGTGACCATGGGTGCTCCATAGCCAGCTCTCATTGTCTTGGCGACTCCAGGGGAGAGAGAAGAGTCCTCTGGAAAGATTTCTTCTCTCAGGTCAGATATACATTGAAAAGCTCATCCCACTGCTGGTCCTTCTCTTAACAGTTCCTAGAAAGATACAGAAAGCACAGCATCATAAATAGACCACTTGTCCATATTTCCTGTGGGTGAGTTTGTCTCTGGACTTGTGTAATAACATGATTATTAAATTGGTACATATTATGATCTTAGACATGGCAATCTGAGTTGCATTTCACTTTGCAGTAGAAACCATGTGATTTATTTGGGGATTTCAGTGTCTCCTGTCCCTTAAGGAAGCAGAGAAAGCAGTCTTCCTTGCTCTGACTCAGCGACTGAGAGGAGACACAAAGATTCCCTTTGTTTTTCTTTCCTATGGTCAGGAATAGGAAAAAAGTCCCCATTAGTCCCCATGGCCATTAGTATAGTTCCTATATTTTAGCCCTTGAAACTGGCTGTTACTTAGAATAGATAGAATTAAGTAAGAATTAATGTTGGCTGTTAATAAGCCTGAGTAGTTTTCAGAATATAAATATTATAAAGGAAGCTAACATTTTTTGAATATTTGCCCAGGCAGTAAGCTAAATACTTTCATGTTTTATTTTACACCTTAAGGAGACAGGGATTACTATTTAGCAATGGTTTATAAATAAGGAAACTCAGGCTCAGAGAGGATTAACTAAGTATGATACCCAGGATTACTCAGCTAGTAAGTGGTAGAAGCATGGAATTTGAAATCCAGGTCTTTTGGACTCCATTAGGTTTCCCTTATAAGTAATACATTCTTCACAGTGTTATAAGGGTGATAGAATTACTATATCACAAAAGTTTATAGTATATTATCATTGAAATTTAATGCTCCTAGCTAGGATCTTCCATTTTCTTCTTTTCTCCTATTTACTCCACTAGTTAAATGCTGATTTGACAATCTGATCAAAGATATATTTGAATGTAAGCAATTGAGGGAGCTAAACTCTTTTCAGAAATCATATATATATATATATATATATATATATGATATATGTGAGTAATTAAGGTTATATCTAAGTGCTTCTAATGAGATTTTCAGATTAGAAATATAAAACAATTAGCAAGAAACCAAATAAATGCATTTAATCCCTACTCCCACTCCCAGATCTCAAGAGAGTCCCCATTTGTTACTTTGGGGAAGCATCTCAGTGAATAAACACAATCAAATCCAGATTATAAGAATACACTTGAAATGGTTGATCTTTCTATTAATGCCGGGAGCCCAAATCATCCTGTACTCTGTAAATTTGGCCTTCTGGTTCTTTTGGCTGATCTGCCTCTCAGGACCCTAGGTATGAGTGATCTCTAGGCTTTGCTTACCTTCTCTTGTCATTTGCATGTGGGACTAGAAATTTTTGTTTTTGAATTTTTAAGTAGAGGATGATTGGAATGGGACTTTACAGGTAATGAAGAATATTGGCAAGAGCTTTGCTTACTATTACTGTGTACAACTTTGATGAGGATATTTAATAAAGAGAATTGATATTACCCGTTACTTGAGTATGAGCTGACCACACGCCTTCTCTCGTGAACCTCCAGTCTGTTGACTCTACTTATGCTTGTCTTTCTATTTCTTTTCACCATTCCCTCTGTGAATAGCTAGAAATGGAAACCAAATGAACAGTTCTTTTTGTAAGTAATCTTGTCAATTAAAACAGCTTATGACTGGCTCTCTTTGTTTATTTCAGTGAACAGCCTATCCCGCTCCAAGTATTGTTAAGCCAGGAGGCCCAACTGGAACCCTACACGAATACGGAGTTTGGGGCCAGTACTTTCATTTACTCACCTGCTTCCTGCCATGAGTCACTCTCGGCATTATTCCCAGAGCCATCCGCCCTGTCTGCTCCGCAGCACAGCTCCCCCCGTGGGTCTGCCTCGAACCTTCTTGCTCCAGTTGAGGTGGACAGTGTTGACCCCTCTGTGTTTCACAGGCAGGGCTTACCTAGAACACCAGGGAGAACTGAGACGGACTCTCCTCATGGTTGGGAACCAGAGGATGAGCGGCAGAGCTGCAGGGGTGACGACAGCAGCTGCACCAGGTTCCCCCAACAAGAAGGAAGAGACACTGATCAAGAACAGCTATTCCAAGAAAAGAGGGATCCTGCTGACTCATCCCTGGCGATGCCTTGGTCACAGCCAATTGGAATAACAGCCACCTCTGAGAGAGGAGACTCGCACAGTCTAGGCTGTGGTCCTTCAAGTTCAGCAGCTCAGCCTAGCCTTTCTCTGCACAGGGCCTGCCACCCCGTAAAGCCTGCTCCTTCCTCATCTGTGCTTCACTCTTCTAATGCTGTACAGAAGACTAACCAATGCCTCCAAACCCAAAACCTCAAAACTCCATTGACTTCAAATATGGACCGAGGCAGCGAGGAGCCCTCTATGCCAGAGTTTCCTACCACCAAGGGGCTTGTCCGCTCTTTGGCAGAGCAGTTCCAGAGGATGCACGGTGCCTCCACCAGGGATGGTACAGGTGCCCAGGATAGAAGTTTGCCAAATAGTCTAAGGAAGGACTCTCCACCTTCTGACTGTAAGCCTCCTTTCCCACAGGGTCAAGGGAAAGGCCACTGCTCTTGGGCAAAACAACAGCCCTCTTTGGATGGTAGGAACAAACTGCCTTCCTGGGAAGAGCCTGCTAATCATCCTTCTCTTGCCATGAACTGTGGGCCGCCTAATGGTGAAGCTTCTAGGGGAGGACAGCCCAGGTTGGCAGAGTCAGGTATTTACCATGGGAAACCGTCTCAAGTGAGAGATGCTGGGCCTAAGGAGCTGGGCAGCAGTGTCGATTCAGGGACTTCCTTGCCTTTGGATTCTTGGGTGAATGTCACAAGGCTCTGTGATTCTCAGCTTAAACATGGGGTCCCTGGGCCAGGAATGAAGTCCTCCCCTCATGATTCCCATACCTGTGTAACCTATCCAGAAAGAAACCACATCATTTTGCATCCACATTGGAACCAGGACACAGAGCAGGAGACCTCAGAATTGGAGTCTCTCTACCAAGCCAGTCTTCAGGTTTCTCAATCTGGCTGTTCTGGATGTGGGCAGCAGGAAGTAGTCTGGAACCCACTGAGCCAAACAGGTAAGAATGCAACCAGGGGCAGGAGGTGTGGGGGACATAGAAAAGCTGAAGGCAGGAGGATAAGATCAGAAGGGGGGATGGTGTTCTATCTAAATAATATCCTCAGCTTAGGTGGCAGCAGCAGAATTTCTGACTTTATTTATAACAACTTCATGATAAGAGCTAGACATCTTCCTGGCTAGAGTAGAGAATGGGGGCAGAATCATCACTCACAGGCTAGTTCCCTCCTTCTAAAGAAAGAGATCAATGAATGTATGCCCAGGGCTGCTGCAGTATACATGCTATGGAGTGGTTCTTAGGCCTTTGAGAGTGATTCAGCATGAGACAGGGGAGGCTGAGTGGGTAAGTCATCCTTCTATGGCTTAGGAACTGAACTGATCCCAAGATCCAGCTTCCAGATCCAACTTACAACAAGGATGTCCACACTGAGCCAGGTCTCCAATGTAGCATTTCCAGATTGTACTGAACCAGCTATATCAAGACCTTCCCTCATCCATTCTGGAACTACCAGGTTTAGAATTTTCAAAGGAGGTATGCTTGTAGGGTACCTGTTCACTGACTCTTTGTGAGATTATATTGTGTGAAGAGTGAAGTTTAATGTTAAATGCATAGTATATACATAATTCTATAAGCTGAATACATAAAGGATATTTATAATTTAGGATTGATGTACTTAAGAACTCCAAAGCCTGAACTGTCATCCTGTCTCCATCGTTAACTGTCAGTATAAATTTGGATAAGTCATTTAATATCTAAGCTGTTACCTATAAGAAAATTGGTTCAGTGATTTTCTTTTAAAGATACTTTGCAACTTTTAAAAGGATACGTATGATTCTGTGAAATTGATTCAGAGAAATGTATCTTCAGTTCAAGTAGTATAGATTCTTTGCATGCTGCCAACCAACATTTAATTACAGCCAAACAAGTGTTTATTCAGAATCTTCTGTGTTTCCAGTAGTGTCAGAGTGGGGGTCATCACATAAATATAAGATTTGATATTAAGATATGTTTTTCTTAGGATCTTCACTCTAGACTTTGCAATAACATTTATGATCCTTAGATACATAGGATAGAGCAGTATGGGAAGATTCTAAAGAATAAGGAAAAGTTGGAATTTGCCTCAGTTAGATCCTGTCTAACATAACAGAGAAAGAATATACAAATGTGAAGTGTTTTAAGAATAAGAAACACATATAAAAAATACAATGTGACTAAAATTGAACTAACCAATTGAATGTCAAACATTATAGTACAAACAAAACAAAAAGTCCATATGTTACCCCAAACAGTGGGCTTCCCAGGTAGCGCTTGTGGTAAAGAACCCTCCTGCCAAGGCAGGAGATATAAGAGACATGGGTTCAATCCCTGGGGTCAGGAAGATTCTCTGGAGGAGGGCATGGCAACCCACTCCAGTATTCTTGCCTGGAGAATCTCATGAACAGAGGAGCCTGGCGAGCCACAGTCTGTAGAGTTGCAAAGAGTTGGACACACTGAAGCGACTTAGCACACACCCCAAATAGCAACAGGTTTTTTTTTTTTTTTTACTATAGATACTTTTGAAAATATATAAAGTAAGAAAAATCATTGATAACCCCACTCAGTAATTTTATGAGTTTACTTCTGGTTTTGGGTTGTGTCCCAGCCCTGGTTGATACACTTTTTAAAAAAATTGAAGTATAGTTGATTTACAGTTGTATTAGTTTTAGGTATATAGTATACAGCAAAGTGACTCAGTATGTATATGTACATACATTATATATATATATATATATATATATATATATATATACATGCATGCTTGCTTAGTTATGTCCGACTCTTTGTGACTCCTTGGACTATAGCCTGCCAGGCTCCTCTGTCCATGGAATTTTTCAGACAAGAGTACTGGAGTGAGTTGCCGTTTCCTCCTCCAGGGGATCCTCCTGACCCAGGAATGAAACCTGCTTCTCCTACAAATGCAGGCTGATTGTTTATTGCTGAACCATTGTATACATATGTATGTTAATATATATACATATATATGTGTGTGTACTGTTTTTCAGATTTTTTTCCATTATGGGTTATTACAAAATATTTACTATTACCTGTGCTATGCAATAGGTTCTTGTTTATATATTTTCTATATAGCAGTATATATATGTTAATCCCAAACTCCCAGTTTATCACTTCCCCTCTTTCCTCTTTGATAACCAAAAGTTTGGTTTCTGTGTCTGTGAGTCAGTTTCTGTTTTATAAATAAGTTCATTTGCATCATCTTTTTAGATTCCATGTACAAGTGATGTAAATTTGTCTTTCTCTGATTTACTTCACTTAATATAATCTATAGGTCCAGCCATGTTGCTGCTGGTTTTGTTTTTTATGCATATATACTATATATTTATTTGTATTGTTTTTACCAAAAGTGGAATCATTGTAAAATATGTATACAGTTTAATCCCATGATTTTTTTCCCTTTGGAAAAAACTACTTTTAATGACTATAATATGCTTTACATGAATGTACCATAATATATTCAACCATTCTACTCTGGTTGAATATTTACTTCCAATTTTTTGGTAATAGAGCACTGTGATGAGTATCTTTATACTTAAAGAGTTTGGCCACATTTCTGATAAACTCCTTAGAATAAACTTTTAGAAGGATAATAACTAGCTGAAAGTTATAAACTTTAAAAAAATCTCTTGATACATACTGGCAAACTCAGGAAGATTATACTTCTGAAAGCAGTATGAAAGCATACCTTACCAACCATTAATTTGTACTTGATAGTGAAAGAAAACTAATTTTAAAATCCATTTGATGAATCAGTCCTGAAAACAACTTGTCAAAGCAAAGTAGGCTGTATTTTGGTTCAGTTCAGTTCAGTTCAGTCGCTCAGTCATGTCCTACTCTTTGCGACCCATGAATTGCAGCACCCAGGCCTCCCTGTCCGTCACCAGCTCCTGGAGTTTACCCAAACTCATGTCGATCAAGTCGGTGATGCCATCCAGCCATCTCATCCTCTGTCGTCCCCTTCTCCTTCTGCCCCCAATCCCTCCCAGCATCAGGGTCTTCTCCAATGAGTCAACTCTTTGCATGAGATGGCCAAAGTATTGGAGTTTCAGCCTCAGCATCAGTCCTTCCAGTGAACACCTAGGACTGATCTCCTATAGGATGGATTGATTGGATCTCCTTGTAGTCCAAGGGACTCTCAAGAGTCTTCTCCAACACCACAGTTCAAAAGCATCAATTTTTCAGCATTTAGCTTTCTTCACAGTCCAACTCTCACATCCATACATGACTACTGGAAAAACCATAGCCTTGACTAGACGGACCTTTGTTGGCAAAGTAATGTCTCTGCTTTTTAATATGCTATCTAGGTTGGTCATAACTTTCCTTCCAAGGAGTAAGCGTCTTTTAATTTCATGGCTGCAATCACCATCTGCAGTGATTTTGGAGCCCCAAAAAATAGTCTGACACTGTTTCCACTGTTTCCCCATCTATTTCCCAAGAAGTGATGGGACCAGATGCCATGATCTTAGTTTTCTGTATGTTGAGCTTTAAGCCAACTTTTTCACTCTCCTCTTTCACTTTCATCAAGAGGCTTTTTAGTTCCTCCTCACTTTCTATTTTGGTTAGTCTCTTTTAAATTGAGTCTTTCAGAACTGACATGACAAAATAAAGAAGAGGTCAGTGGAATAAATCGAGAAGTAGATGAAGGAAGGAAATTGAGAGGAAAATGCTGGTTAGGGTCCATATATGATAGAATATATCTTTAGGGGAGTCCTCTTTTATTGAAAAGCATTTATTAAGCACAGAATTACTTTCTTCCTCCAGATTTGTATCTGTAGTTGATAAGCAGCACTGTGTAAGGTTACAGTATACAGTGCGATGGTTGATACCTGCATGTGCCGCTGAGTGATTACAGTAAAGGCGGTGAGCCAGCCATCACCACACCTAATAGCTGTTGTGTGCGTGTGGTGAGAATATTTAAGATCTACTGTCTAAACAACTTTCAGGTATATAATAACATAGTTAACTATAGTCACCATGCTATACATTAGGATTCTCAGAACTTATTCATCTTATAATTGGAAATGTGTACCCTTTGATCAACCCCTAGCTCTTGACAACTATCATTGCATTCTCTTTCTATGAGTTTAATTCTTTTAAGACCCCACATATAAGTATGATCATATGTTTTTGTCTTTCTCTGACTTATTACTTTTTAAAAAAAGCTTTATTGATATATAATTTACATACTGGACAGCTCACCTATTTAAAATGCACCATAAAGTGGTTTTTTAGTATATTCATAGTCTTCCACCCTTCACCACAAATCGGTTTTAAAGTGTTTTTTCAGTACCCTAAAAACGTGTCAGTAAGCCTCTAATCTACTTTGTCTGTAGATAACCTACCTTGAGCATTTCATGTAAATAGAATCATATAGTATATGGTATTTTGTGGCCAAATTGAATTTCACATGACTGTAGTTCCTGAAAGTTATGTGACAACTGCCCTTGACCTACATTCTAAATTTTATAGTATGTTGAAGTTGGTCCACATCATACTAAAAATAAAAAATAACTTTTTGTTATGGAAAACTTCAAAATTGTAATGAGTTAATGTTATGGTATTCTAGCAAATTTGGAAAACTCAGCAGTCGCCCCAGAACTGGAAAAGGTCAGTTTTCATTCCAATCCCAAAGAAAGACAATGCCAGAGAATGTTCAAACTACCACACAATTGCAGTCATTTCACATGCTAGCAAAGTAATGCTCAAAATTCTCCAAGCTATGCTTCAACAGTACATAAACCGAGAACTTCCAGCTGTTCAAACTGGATTTAGAAGAGGCAGAGGAACCAGAGATCAAATTGCCGACATCCGTTGGATCCTAGAAAAAGCAAGAGAATTCCAGAAAAACATCTACTTCTGCTTCATTGACTACGCTAAAGCCTTTGACTATGTGGATCACATCAAACTGTGGAAAATTCTTCAAGAAATGGGAATACCAGACCACC